AACACAAACTGTGATTCAACACAAAGTGCTATCAAAAGAACAAAATAAAACAAACAGACAAAGAGAAAAAAAATCCCTATTTTTGTAATCATAATCTTAAGGTTGTTCTAATTATTGACTGCACATTTTTAGATGAAAATATGATTTTTCAAGATGAGCGTGCCCCATTGACAAATGATAATACTATGTTATCAATGAAAAAAGATGCAAGTAATCCAGGAGATAATATCAGTTCAAATCAGTCTTACATAAATTTAATTTAATATTAAGTTCTCCTAATCATGATATCTATTACTCTTCATTTAGGAAAAAATGAGAAGAGGAAGGGAAAGTATACAAACAACATACACACTGTAACTGTAGCTAAACCTTCTCAATAAATGCAATCTAATGTTAGAAGAGAAAAATCAGTCATAAATGCTTATCCAACCAACTGAGATGATCTACGTTCATAAGCTAATCTTGTATTTTTAATTAACAGATAGAATGGTAACATCTAAACAATATCATGTAATAAGAATGAAAACAAGAAACAATTTTTATGCTCAATTTAACTAAATGGAGATGCAGTATCTGGGTAGTGCTGTATTTGTGCAACTGCTTTTTTTTTTTTAACACCTCCTCATGCAAAAATGTTTTTTAATTGAACCCACTGATTTCTGCACTGTCTTCTGTTCTGGTTCAAGATCAGAGAACTGCTAATCTTTGGCATTTAAATGAGCTCAGAACATGGATTAAATTATCATTCACATGTGTTAAACATTCTAAATCTATCATACTTAATCTACACACATACATTCACTACAAAACTCACACGAGGAAAATAGAAAACAATAGCCACGGTAGCTGCTGTGCTAGCCAAATTGTTAAATGAGCAGGCAAAAGTATGAAGCAATCAGTGAATTTCAAACAACAAGATACATAATTTTTAAATATAAGGACAAATTCCTGGCATGGACAATATAGTTACTCCAACAGTAGTATGGCTAATTGCAGTAGACTCACATGCTGAGCAAACTTCAATGTAATGATGAAGTAACTCAAATGCACATATTCTTAGAAGAATGGCAAGTAAGTACAGTAACTGAAAAAATATGCTAGGGCTCTGAGGAGATCTTTAGCATAGTACACAGAGAACAGTACCACCACAGAAAAAGCACAGTAGGAGAGTATTTACCCTTTTTGCAGCAATCTATGGGGGGAAAAATAGTTTCTAATGATCTTTTATTTTTGGTTGTTTACAAAATCGGTAATTAGAAAGACTTTCTGCAATGTGTTTTAAACAAAATAAAAGATATTCTGCTATCATGTCCATTGGTATCTATAGTTAGTCATCTCTCTTCTCCACACCTCCTTTATTTAACTTACATCAATTTTCAGTCCCAAATTCTTGTGTTTTTAAGGCCAGTGCATGATCATAGAATTAAATTAGTTTTGCCACTACAAAAAAACCATTTCTCAGCAGTTAATTTATTTAGCACTAGACAATATTTTAGTCTTATCTGGCCATGGAGGAAAGTAGGAAGGGAAAGGGACTTCTTTGCACAGCTCACAGAAAAGCACACATGCATCCTTCAAGTTTAGAGAAACACAAAAACTGGAATCACAGGAGCAACTAGGAGAGGAGTAGATAGAGCCATAGCTCTGTCACACATATATATCAGCTAATAAAGCTGGCAGGCTGCATGGTATAGGAGAGTATGTATGCACCCACATGCATTCAAATTATGATATACCACTTCTACCACAATTCAACTAAGTACAGAGAGATACAGTGGCTCAATGAAGTTGAATACTTCCAGAGCCGGGTTTTTCAACCCCCCCCCCCCCCCCTTTGATTCATGTTGTGACTAAATGACACAAATTTAGTCATTAGTTCCGGACCGTACACAGCCTCAGAAATGGTGCGAAGGGCATGCGCCACCGCCGCACATGCACGGTCCGGCTAAACCATGGCTAATGAATCTCCAACCTGCGGTGCTGGGACGAGCCTGACACGTACAGTGGAGCACCCATGGGGACACTACCCGAAGAAGAAATGTATATTATTTGCTACAATGTCGTCAGATATTTTTCTAAGATCTCAGAATGTAGCATAATAAAGTATTACGAAAGCTGAAATATAGCTTTTTGATATCAAGTTTATTATCCTCCATATTTCATACCAGTCATATTGAACAGCTAATTTAACTGTTTGATTACATTATAAAACTATAGTTATTTTCTTCAACATGTGTTTAAGAGAAAAAATACAGACACTATGTCCTTCAAATAAAATATTCTTTTTTTGTCAACCAAATAAGGTGGAAATTCTGAAGTTAAAGAATGAACAATTAAGAAGTAAGAAATTCACACATCTACCTTTCCTCCTTCCGCACAGAAACCACATGCTGCATTTGATCCAGAACAGATTTCTGTATTTCACAAACCATTTCTAACTATTGTCTAAAATGATTTTATTTTAAACATAAATGCTGCAAAGCTCCACACTAATAAATCACTGTTTCCATAGTAACTAAGGTAGCAAAAGCAAATCAAAACTAAAAATAGTACAAAGCAAACAAGATTTGACAAATCTCCGGTATTAACAAAATGTGAGATGATGCAATGTATTAATTTTTTTATCGCCCTTGTTTATGAAGATATGCCTAACTCAGCTTTGCTCCTCTTGATTAATACAGGAATCCCCACACTTGTGACAATCAAAACTTTATGCCAATGCACACCACCACCTCTCTCTATACAATGCATATCTTGAGCTACTCTTTATGCATATATCTTTTTTTTTCCAAAAAGCTTCATAAAATACAAGTTTGAGAAAAAGACCATTAACAATTACAAAAATAAAACAAATACTACTGCAAACCACCTAATTAAACCCCCTAAAACGGGTGGGCAATAATTTTTTACAAAGGGCCACTTCAGAAATGTTAAGTGGCCCCAGGCCATCCTAGAAAGGACGAGGGCGGAAGGGGCAGGACCAACAACAGTTCTGGCAGTTGACTCTAAGTGCTGAGCCCCTTGCAGAACAGGAGAAGACTTCAAGTGCTCCCCCAGACCAATCAGAGCTTGAGGGCAAGGGGAGTGTGCAAAGTCTCCTCTGACCGTCCCCTGTCCTGCAAGAAGCACACAGCGATTCTAAGCAGCAGGACCTCTGCGGGCTGGATCAACTCACTAGGCAGGCCAGATCCGGCCCGCAGAGGCCCTGTTGCCAACCCCTATCCTAGAAGGTCAACCCTAAAACCACTTGCCAACAAAATTAATCTGAATATAAAAAACTGAATTAGCATACTGGTTTTATTTCACTGTAAATGAAATTGTATCCCCCAAAATATGATAATATCCAATTGCACTTGAAAAAAATCATACTCTCCTTAACAGACAACAAAAAGTAAACTGCACACGTACAGTTAGCAATGATTCCAATTAGGTTGGACCCACATAATGTGTCTCAAGAGTTCAACCCCCCACCCTCGACAGAACTATCCTCCAAAACTAAACCATTTATTTCTGCAATTATTTGTTTGCATTTTGCAGCTGTCATGTGTTTATGTAATGTAAAACTCGCATGCTGTTTTTTCCATAACCACAACTACAGAACGCTACATGTTGCTACGAAGTTCCAAAATACCATTTAGTCTTATTTTTCCCCTTTTTCATTTTCTGGAAATTCTGAAGATTTGAGCAGGCACTTTTCATCTAACAGTAAATAGGATCAGGAACAAAATTAAATGATACAAACGTATAAGGACATACAAAAGCACTTCATATTTGTGATTCTACTTTGATTTACACGGTGGTTATATTTCCTTAAAAGAAAATACCATACTTCACTCAATCTAATGTGAGAATGCTTGGTTTTGAATCCTGTTGTTTCCCTATATTGTTTTAATAGCTCTTTAAATTGAATATTTTACCTTTAGACTTGTTTGTTTCCATGTTTCTTATGTTGCACAAGCTATCACAAACGCTTTGCCAATTCACTGGTGTATCACTGGCAAAGTTAATGATGTTAATACAAGTTTGGGCACAGAGTTTGATAAATCACATTAATTCTTCAAATATATGTGGAGTGAAGCACAAAACATGGGGACAAATAATAATAATGTCTACAAAAATTGTGAACTATATAATGATCTTTCTTCTAGCTATATCTGTTTTTTAAAATCAATAACACATTCCTGTAACCAGATACATTTTATATATCTGATAGTGGGACAAATTAATACTTTAAGTAAGTAAGGGAAATGTCATTCAGTACTCTAATTATCTGACCTTAGCAGAGTTTCACCAGATATGATATTACACAATTAAAACTGGTTAAACAGTTTTCTGACTGTATTTTGAGCCATATCACCATTGTTAACAGAAACTTTTCTCCAATAAGGAATTACCAACATGTCCTGCACATTGGGATATTTTAGGAAGTAAATGGGGATACATGCTTTAAATTGCACTGAAATGTAGTCATTATAGAAAGCTCCATTGGAACTGCATTGGGAAAAATGGCAAATATGCTACTGGAAAGTGTAGGGACTGTTTGGAAAGTTCGCATGAGCGAGCAATTAACATGGTGCTGATGTACAGAACTGCTGTTAGCCCATCTTCATGATTTTACATATTAAGGGGTTTCACTAAAATGGGAAATACAAGCATATTAAAATGTGTCTTCTGGCTATGCATGTATCTCTTAGCTGGTTAGTTTCTTTAACTGTGCCATATCAACTGTGTTCTTGACTCAAATTCCCTCTCAATGAGCAATTCATTGCATGTTTAACTTGTCTTTCCTGTCTTAATGGTTGGACAACAGAGTAGTTTGGAACCAAAGTTACTAATCTTTGAAATGAAAGCCGAGCCATGGAATCAGATCTTTAAAAAAATATTGCCTGTTTTACTGTTTAAAGATTCATCCAGTTTATATTAAGCACTGCACATTTAACCTGTTATCTAGCCATCGAAGTGACCAAAACTGTAGTATGAAAAATGAGTATCTTCCTTACCTGTGTATACAGTTTTTAGATTCGAGATACGCCATGCCAGCAGCAGCATCTAATGAAAATTTCACTAATTGTTTGGTTTTTAGCTCATCCTTCTTCTTTCTTAAAAAGGAGAGGAAATCACCTCCTAGAGAAACAGACAAATGAACAATGAGACATGACAGCAGTGATACTCACATTTATCTCATTGGAGATGCTTGACTGAAAAAAGTATTACGCTATCAACCGGGCCTTTCAACCAATGTGAGGATAAGATTTTAAAAAAATGGAAAAAATACATTTCCATCAATACATGGCCACATTAGGATGTCCTGAATATTGCTCCAAGTGCTTCCAGGTAAAAGCTGTACAAAGAATGAAAAAATTTAATCAAGTCCATATTTTTACTACACTACATGTCATATTTCCCTATGAATATTCAATATATATTTGCATAATTATGAATTATGGAGTAAATAATCTACTGATAATAGGTTGTGATTAAAAAGCAGTTTTAATCACATCTTTCAACTGCAATGGTTTATTAACATCTGAAAATGGCAATAGGTGATGAGTTTGTATTTGCAGATTTGTAACAGTTAAGTAATGCCTCTGATTGATGATTAGGGCACAAGTCAGCAAGAGAAAAATATTATAAGACGCCATATACTACCACGTGCTGATGATTAGAAACTTGCATTAAAGTTTAAAATAAGCCTCACTGCAGCAGGCAGTGGCAGAAATTACAGTATAGCTTTTTCAAGACTGAAGCTTTACATGTTATTAGAGAGCCATTTCTCTAGCCTTCATTTCATTTTACTATGTATTGAACTGATTCTAGTGATCTTCTCTCAAATAATGCCCAATGACACAGTTTTCATATACTGTCTGTCTTAGTAATGGAAAGAGACATTACCATATGTTAAAAGTTTCATCTGGGATTTTCTTAGGAGGAAATATCTAGTTATATTTCATTGTAAGAGATAAACTGAGTGGTTATTAAAGAAAGGTTTTATTAAGAGCTAACATTTTTCCTTCAAGTGCTGCAGCCCTCAAATATTAAGATAGAGTATTTCTGAAAGGAATTAGGATCTTAACTATCAATGTCCTGCACTTTTTTAACCCATGTTACCAAGCATCTATGTCCTTTTGATACAGAATCTCTAGAGGTGGCTTAATGGGTTGTTTCTTAATTAAAGTTCCCAGGAAGCTCATCCTCCAGCTAAAACTCTCTGGTTTACCCCTCTGCTTGCCCACAGGGCACCGCAAACATTCGAGAAACAAATATGCTTTCCTTTAACCTCATTTCCAATTAACCTTTTTGAGTCAGGCAAAAGACAAGAGAAGATTAATAATTTTTTTATGATGTATCCGTTATCATTTAACAATTTCCAGGAAGATGATGAGGGTTTTAAAAGGAATTGGGTGTGTATATATATGCATAAACATCATCATATACTAGAATAAAATGATGTCAAATGAGTTCTGTTTTACAAGATCTATAACTACATTCATGATATCTGCATAAAGGATTCAGGCTCAACCCTCAAGAGCATGCTCAAGGACAGGCCGAGCACAAGCTGAGGTTCGGTATTCCAGGGCTGGCCAAAGGCTAGTATGGTTTAGTTTAGACCAGTGGTTCTCAGCCTGTGGTTTGCAGATCCCTGGGGGTCCACAGAATATGAATCAGACTTAGACTGAAAAGTGGCAGAACAGATTTCAATTGTATATACATACAACAGATTTCAAAATGGGTCTGGATATCTATTTGAAATTTCTAAAAGGTTGACAACTACAGGTTTAGAGCAACAACACAGCTTTCCTAAACTATGCTCATCTGACCATGGCTGTACTGCTTACATTTGAGGCTTGAGCCTGTAGCATTTATGCAGATATCATGCACATAGTTATAGATCATGTAAAACAGAACTCATGTGCACTCTGCAATGGTACATAGCAGCTAGGCTTCCGAAGCTTGACATACCAGGCTATAAAACTGCAGGGCAGACATTCAACTCAGGGACCCTGCAAGGAGGAAGGGTCCCAGAGCCTCGGACTCAATGTTTACATTGCAATTTTATAGTACTGGAGCCTGAGCCCTGGAAGCCCAAACAAGACACAGGTCCTTTATTGCAGTATAGACATAGTCTAAGGGTGCATATTTGCAAAGTTCTGGATACTGCATTTTAATTTCTAATTAGATGAAAAGTACCGAATACATAAAAGGTTGACTATGTAATGACTGAAGACTAAGGGTATAATCAATTCTGTAAAATATGAGTCAAAAACACAAAAATGGTTCAAGAGGGTGCACACTCCAGTAACAGTCCTAAAATGAAAAAAACAAAACAAAACATGGTAGTACCACAATTCAAGAGTCTGGAGAAATACACTCACAAGTGTGATCCATCAAGATGCAAAACTGTAGCAATTACTGTGGGGGTTTCAGTGTGATCAGTGTTGAATCTGGAGTGACTTTTTGACATTTAAACATTCACAGGTGAAAGCCAGCAGATGTTCTGTCTCTAAAAAGATCCAAATATTCCACTATGAGGGGGCAGTTGCTTCACACTGCGAAATAGGGCACTAAAAAACCTTGCAGAGGGCTGTGGCAATAAGGGGGAGATCTGAGGCAGCCAATCAGAGCTCAGCTGGACTGTATAAAAAGGTGATTGACCTGAGCTCAGTGTCTCTTTAAGAGTTGGCCACGCTGCTATTACAGGGAAAGGTACCTTGGGACAGGACACCGCTGGAGAAGATCAAGGGGAGTCAGAGGAGCAGTGGCCTGACCAACTCCTAGACTGAGGGGCTCATAAAGAGCTTCTAGGAGCTACTAGGTGTGCAGAAGGGCCAGGGAAAGAATAGGCAGCAGGTCCACCCCCTAAATCCTTGCTGATGATGAGTGGCCAGTCAGATTGCAGTTTGACCCTGAGCAAAGGGGCTAGATGAATAACTGCAATGAGTCATTGAGGCAAGTAGTGGATTTAGGAATAACTAGCTTGTCCAGCAGGGGAGGACTCTAGAACATGGGCAGTACTCAGGGGATGTGGCCCCAAGATCTCAGAGAAATGCCGGTCCCAGCATAGTGGAGATTGTGAAGGGACAGGTAATAGCAGATGAGACACTGACAACAAAAGGGCGCTTCTGGAAGGCAAAAGCTCA